TTTTTTTTTTTATAAAATTGTATATAAATATAAAATAATATTTAAATTATATAAATTTTTCTTTCCCTGCATTTCTCAGAATTGTGGTATTCTAGACACTAACTATGATGGTGAGAGTAAGTCTTCTCCTGTGTAAAGCTGTAAACAGCTGTATGATGTGTATGAGGACCAGACATCTCTCTGACATGTGTCAGAATCAGGAATACAAACGGCAAAGGCTCCAGGTAGATTGTTGCGCAGCTTCTGCTTCTTTATGCTGTGCTTTCAACACATGTCCAAGACAGCTGGAGAGAATAACAAGTCTGCTGAAACAACAGAAAGAACGAGAGAGAAAGACGAGATCGGGTCGTCTAGGGAGTACAGCAGGGCAGCACAACTGAGTTTTCTGAATGCAGAAAGAATCGTTTCTCTCCCTCTGGAGTTACACACAATAGAAAGTGCATGCGAGTGTGTTTTTAGTTGTGGTGAAATGTGTTATATGTAGACATATCTGTGAGAAACTCAAGCCAGAAAAGCTGCCCTAACATCACTTTCAATTGAATATTCAGAAAAATCTGCTTGGATGCCGGTGAGATTTGAAATGCAAACCAGTGCAAGAAGAGATTCATCAAGCGTGTGGTGTGTTGTAAATCTGTTCTACACACCAAAAAACTGGTTAATCATCAAATTAGCACGTCTGTATGGTGTGTAAAGGGTGTTAAAAGATGGGTTATTTAACCAAATTTTAACTGAAAAGAAAAATAATCACCTTTGAAAGAGAATCTTTATTCATTTTTCTTCCTTTTCCCTCTTTAGAAATAGCTAAATGAACACATGGATGCGTTATGCTCAGGTGGGATGTTCTGAGGTTTGATGTGGAGATGCTAGATTTCATGCATGTTGTGTTGTGTTGCCATCACTCAATTCCCTGTTGAAAGAAACCCCAAAACAGCATATGCAGGTTAGGTATGTTTTGAAGCATGGCAGCTGGTTTAAGCTAGCCATGAGCTGATCATACAGTGTGATGGTTCTAAGCTGGTTGAGCAACTAGCTCCTGCTCAGGACCAGCTTAAACCAGCTCAAACCTAACCATACCTAACCTGCATATGCTGTTTTTTTCAACAGGGCTCCACTGGATCATGGGAAATGTAGTTTGTATGCTCCACAATGCCATATGAAAAGCATGTGTTGTTCAGTCACTGTTTGCTGAGAACATTAGCTGTCAGTGAATTACTCTTTCATCATCTCTGTGTCATTCTGAGGTCTCTTGGGTTCATCATTCAACCACATTGATGTTTTTCTGTAGTTCTTCGATACAGTACAGTAGCTGTGTTTTGTCTAATGGTTTTTTGCATTTATGTTCTTCTAGTTTTACACAAACAGCCAAGAGAGGTTTGTCTATGTCTGCTGGAGCTGGGAAGAATAGCATCCAGGTAAATTTTAGTCAAGTTTATGTACAGTATATAGTTCTTTTCACAATATATATTGTTGTAAAGCAGCTTCACAGAAAATGGCTTGTTTCAATGTTACAATCAGGAAGTATTCTGTTATCTGTTAAGTATTGTCGCTACATAGTCCTACATAGGTCTGTTTTAATAGTGAGGCATTTTTATTTGTTTATTTTAAATCAGCATTTTGTTGTGCATATAAACACAATGTAAAGTGTGAATGGTCACTGTTGTGTCAGATATAAGGTCGAGCCACCTGGACTTATAAAGCTGGAGAAAGAGATCGAACAGGAAGAGAAGACACCTGAACCTCCGCTCTCACCCGTACCTCCCACTTCCAATTCTCAATCTTCATCTGCTTCTCCATCCGTCTCTCCATTCAACAAGACCAACTCCAGCAAAAAAAGCACCGGCAAGCTACTGGATGAGGCTGTGAGAAACATTTCCTTTCTCACATTTCACTCTTGTCATCTGTAACACAGTAACTTTTAGACTGACAGATGTTTATTTGCTCTATAATGAGAATTTAACGATTTCTGTCATTTTACATGCAACGCGTTCCAGGTGAAGCACATTTCTGAAGATCCACCCTGTAAGTGCCCAAATAAGTTCTGCATAGAGCGACAATCACAGGGCCGTTACCGTGTTGGAGAGAAAATGCTTTTCATCAGAGTAAGTATAAAACACATAACAAACCGTAGTCAGGCTAGATGCCATATTTACACATCAGGCTCATTGGAAATACATAACTCTGCCTTCATGTCTGAAAAAAGGTTCCTCTACATACATTTCATATCCATACATTTCCTCTACATACTGTGCATTTCATATCTTTTTTTATCTCATGTTTGCTTTTCTCGCATTATCGGTTAGGTTTAAGGTAGAGTTTAGTGTAGGTGGTAAACTGATTTCAAATGCAATAGAGCGTTAACCTTTTAGTGCCACTTACCGGACATTTCATTTCCATCTACCATGATACATACAACAACCAGTGTAATAAAACTGTGTTTAAAGGGGTCATATGATGCGATTTCAAGTTTTCCTT